ATATATATATATATATATATATATTTGTTATGCAGACCCCAAACCATTCGCGCCAGCAATGAAGATTTGCGGTGAAATGTTGAAAGTATTAGGTAATTTTGAATCATCTGAATTTTCATATTTTTTGCACATTTGTTTTTTATGTTTTAAATATTTAAGAAGACATTCTTATTTTATTTCTTTATTACTTGAATCTATGGCATATTCTAATCTTAAGGATATAGCTAAACATAGAGTACATATTCATACAGAACAACAACAACAACAACAACAACAACAGCAGCAACAACAGCAACAACAACAACAACAACAACAGCAACAACAACAACAACAACAAATACAACAACAACAACAACAACAAATACAATTGCAGCAGCAAGGACAACAACAGCAGCAAATGCAACAGCAACACCAACAACAAGGACAGGTTAGAGCGGGGGACAGTCCACCACCATTACTTAGTGCTGGTGGTGCTGGTTGTGCTGGTGGTAATGGTGGTAATGGTGTTGTTCCTACTACAACAAATGCTGCAGCAGATATGTTAGTAGGAGCTTCTGCTGCTATACAACAACAGCAGCAACAGCAGCAGCAGCAGCAGCAGACAGCTGTACCTCCGGGTCGCGGCACTGAATGTAATGGTGATATTTCAACAGCAGCAAATGCAGCAGCAGCAACAGCAAATGCAGCAGGAGGAGGAGGGAGTTTGCCTCCCGTTACAGCAGCACCATCAACAAGCACTCCTCCTGCAGCAGCTGCTGCACCATCACCACCGCCTAGCAGCAACATCCCCATCATCAGCAGCAGCAGCAGCAGCAGTGGTGGCCGTGTTGTATGTTTAGCATTAGAGCGTCTAAAGAAACGATTTATGTTAGATTATACAGATGAGGAAGCAGAGGCAGCACTAATTGCTGTTGTATTAAATAGTGCTAGTTCTCTCTTTCCTGCTGTTGTTGATAGATTACATGAATGGGCACTCTATTGGAAATAGACTGCAGCAGCAGCAGCAGCAGCAGCAAAAGCAGCAGCAGCAGAAGGTACAGCAGGAGGAGATGGTGCAGCAGGAGGAGATGGAGTGTTGATGCAGCAAGAATAGGATATCGAGCAGCTGTTGCAGCAGCAACAGCAGATGCAGCAGCAGCTGCTGCTGCTGCAGGTGACTGCAAGCAGACACCTTAGTCTCTGCAGCGCGTTGGTGGGAACAGTAGTGGCTATGCCACGGACAGCTAGTTGTTAGCTAGCTACTAGCTAGCTACAAGCTAGCTACTGCGGGGCTACCCAACTATCTTATGTCTTCGGCTAGCCAATTAGCTAGCTACCTAGCCACGTAGCTAGCTAACTAGCTAACCGTGGCTAGCTTGGTACTCGGCCTGGGCTCTCCTCCCAGTGTCCTAAGCTTGCCTTTTTGCTCAACAGCTAGATAGCCGTCTAGCTAGTTAAGTTAACAGCTGGGTAACCAGCTAGCTAACCAGCTAGTTGGCTAGCGGCATATATAAACACAGCGGCGTGCCCAAAGAGATTAGAGGCAGCAAACGGTGGTGGAGTCACCATTTGAGTGTTTAGGGTTTAGGGTTTGTGGCGCATCGTTCCAGTCGTAGATAATTTGGTGTTTAGGGTTTGCTGTTTAGGGTTTAGGGCCGACTCCTAGGGTTTAGGGCCTAGGGTTGGGAGTTGAGGGTTTACAGCTTCATGGCTTCAGTCTTACATAATTTAGGGTTTACAACTTAGGGTTTAGGGTTTATTGTTTGGGGTTTAATGTTTAGTGTTTTGAGTTCAAGGCCCGGCCCTAACAGTTTAGGGTTTAGATAGGGTTTAGGGTTTAGAGTCTAGGGTCTGAGGATTAGGGTTTAGCGGTTAGGGCTTGGCATTTCTATTGGGGTCTGCGGCCAGCTTGGCTGCGCCAACAACACTCTCCTGGCCCCCTCTAGCAGCAGCAGACTTGCGGCAGCAGCAGTAGACTTGCAGCAGCAGCAGCAGCAGGCATGCAGTAGAAGCAGCAGCAGACTTGCAGCACCAGCAGCGTACTCGCATAAACAGTGACAGGCTCGCTGAAGCAGCAGCAACAGCAGCAGCTGCTGTGCCACCAACGTGGGCAGCAGCAGCAGACAGCAGCATACAGCACCAGATAGTGCCGCATCTGCTGTTGCAGCGCGTGGGTAAACCTTTTGATGCAAAGAAAGGCTTCTGCCACAACTGCCCTTCTTCCTGCTGCTCCTGCTGCAGCCCCTGGTGCTGCTGTTCCAGCAGCAGCAGCAGCAGGGGTTGCAGCATGTGCATGCAGGTACGCAGCTACAGGAATACACTCGGTGTCTTCCTAGATGCGAAGGACACAAAAGTGTTGTTGTTGCTTTTGCAACTTACAGAAGGCAACCCACATGTGCTGCTGCTGCTGCAGCTGCTTCTGCAGCAAGAGCAGCAGCAGCAGTTGCTGCTGTGGCCTAAGCAGCGGGATCATCGGCAAGGAATTCGTAGGTGTGAAGACATCGAGTGCCCACCACAATCCAATGATCCGCTGCTGCTGCTGCTGCTGCTGCTGCGCTGCTCCTGCGTAGGGGCCAACACTCCAGCAGCGGGAGCAGGCGGAGCAGCAGGTGCCGCAGGAGCGGCCGGTGCTGCTGCTACTGCTGCTGCTACACTAACTGCAGCAGATGCATGAAGGCCAGAAGCAAAGAGGCCAATCCATAAGATGTGTTTTCCCCAAATATCGCTCCCTAGTTTATCCTTTTAGGGTTTAGAGCATATTGCTGCTGCAGCCCCTCGCCATCATGCAAGCATGTGCAGCCGCAGCAGCAGCAGCAGCAGCAGTGGCAGCAGCGGAGAGCTGCAGCAGCAGTAGTTACAGCTACATTCACGTTAGATCAATTTGTTTTACGTGCATTTCTTAAGCTAATAAAAGATAAATTATTTTACTCAGGAAGGCCCCTCATAGGCTGAGCGCTCTGCTGGAGGAGCGGGAGCAGCAGCAGCAGCAGCGGGAGCAGCAGCAGCAGCAGCCGCAGCCGCAGCCGCAGCCGGAGCAGCAGCAGCAGCAGCAGCAGCGGCTACCTAAGCCCCGATAAGCGGGGACGCAAATGCCCCGCCCAGGTCACTATTCTCCTCCTAAACCCTAAACCCTAAAGCCTAAACCCTAAACCGCCAATAAGGTTTCGGCCCCCAACCATAAGAAGGGTCAGGACAGGACGATCCTGCTGCAGCAGCAGCAGCAAAGGCATCCGCAGCGGCTGCAGCAGGAGCAGGAGCGGCAGCAGCAACCATCTACTAAATGATCTGCAGCAAGATAGTGCTCATCATCAGCAGCAGCAACAAAAGCAGCAGCAGCAGCAGCAAACCCCCGTTTGGGTTGCCGCCGAAGAGGTAGGAGACAGCAAGCAAGCAGATGAGCCCCGAGGGACTGTGCTGCAGCGGCAGCAGCAGCAGCAGCAGCAGCAGCAGCAGCAGTGTTAGATAAGCAGCAGCAAATTTTCTATATTATTGTTGATGTCGCCCCACCGCTTACCCCCCTCTGCTGCGGCTTCCTTTGCTGCCGCGTTGTACCTTGCTGCTTGCTGCTGCCCGCTTTGCTGCAGGCAGCAGCAGCAGCAGCAGCAGTAGCAGCAGCAGCAGCTAAACGCTGCTGCCCCATATTACAGCCCAAAATATTGCTTATACACACGCTGCTGGAGCACCAGCAGCAGCTGCAGCAGCAGCAGCTGTAGCAACAGCTGCAACGGCTGCTGCAGCATACACCCCATTTGCTGCTGCTTCCTGGTCTAAACAAAATGACAGAAAAAGAAGAGGGGCCCCCATTGGGGCCCACTGCAGCAGCAGCAGCAGCAGACCATAAAATATCAGAGGCCGCAGCACCGTATGCAGCTGCACAGCATGCAGCAGCAACGGATGCTGCAGCAGCAACAGCAGCAGAACCACCACAAGCACCCACACAGGATGCAGCAGGAGAGGATGCAGCAGCACCGCGTGCAGAAGCACCTCCTGCTGCAGCAGCAGATGCAGCAATTAAGGCCACTGCTGCATCAACAGATGCAGCAGCAGCAAAAGATACAGCACCAACATCGCATGCAGCAGCAGCAGCGCAAGCGGCAGCGGCGCAGCAATATGCAGCAGCGGCGCAGCATGCAGCAGCAGCAGGGCATGCAGCATCACAAGTGCAGGATGAATCAGCAGCACATGATACAGCAGCAGCAGCAGCAGCAGCAGCAGCAACAGCAGCACGGACAGAGGCGCCCCACAAGATAGGGCGTCACGTTTTTTTAGGTGCTGCAGCAGCAGGTGCTGCTGCAGTGGTGCTTCTGTTGCTGCTGCTTGCATGCGGGGATTTTGTGGATCGCGTGCTGCAGGAGGAGTTATCTCGTGAATCTGCAGCAGCAGCTGCTGCTGCAGCAGCAGCAGCAGCAGCAAGACGTATCTTTCGTTGGCGTACAACACCTGCTGCAGGTTTGCTGCAAGAGCAGGTGCTGCAGCAGCAGCTGATACAGTCTGAGTTATTGCCTTTGCTGCCTCAACCGCAGCAGCAGCAGCAAGAGCAGCAGCTGCAGCAGCAGCATGGAGGAGCAGCAGCATTAAATGATGTAAGTGTTACTATAACACATAATGAGTTATCAAGACACGAGCGTGCTTTGCTGCAGCACTCTCCTGAGCAGCAATTGCTGCTGCTGCTGCAGCTGCAGCAGCAGCAGCGTCGTCGTCGTGCTGTACCTGGTGGCTATGCCCCATCAATGCGTTTGCTGCAATCATTAGTGGAGGCTCAAGCAGGTGCCCGTGCTGCTGCTGCTGCTGCTGCTGCTGCAGCAGGAGCAGGAGCAGGAGCAGCAGGAGTAAGACCCACCACGCAATTGACGAAATCAGCAGCAGCAACAGCAACAGCAGCAGCAGCAGCAACAAGACCTATAGAGGAAGAAGATATAGAGGATTTATTATTAAGAGAAGGATGGTCATTAGAGGAGAATAAAAGAGAAAAAACAATTCGTTTACCAACAGAATTGCATGCGTTGCTGATGAGCGAAGGAGGATTGGGGCTGCAGGAGTTGCTGCAGGAAGCAGCTGCTGTAAGTATGTATAGCAGCAGCAGCAACAGTAGCATAAGAAGAAAAAGTATAATAAGAAGAAATAAAAGAAAACAGAAAAAGATAAGTAGTAGTAGTAGCAGCAGCAGCAGCAGCAGCAGCAGCATGATTCCCGATGAAGATGAGGACACGACCACAACAAGCACGGCCATAACAACCTCATCATCAGCAGCAGCAAGAGCAGCAGCAGCAGCAAGAGCAGCAGCAGCAAGAATAGGAGAAGAGCCACGTGCAGGAATGGTTCCTCGTCGTTTATTATCTCCTTCTGTATATATAAATGCATATAAACAATTAAATGAGGCAGTAGATCCAGATAGATTAACAAGAGCAGTAAAGGTAGGAGGACAATATATATATCCATGGTCTGTATTCAATAATAAGGAAAGGGAGCAATTAAGGTTAATGGCTGACCAATTAAAATGGTTACCTAAATGGATAAAACAATACAGGATAGCAAGAAGGCCACCATTAATAGCATTAAGGAATCATTTACCTGTAATTAGACCTTCTTTTGAGGATATGTATGGGGGCCCAGGGCCCCCATCTATGGGCGCAGCTGCAGGAGTACGCTATACATGGTTAGGTCATGCTAGTGGTGTTGTATCTATAGATGGATTAAATATACTTATTGATCCTGTATTAGGGGAAGATATAGTTGGTGTTATGAATGAATTAGGTAAGAAAGTAGTTAATTTTGTTAATAATAAATTATGTGGTAGTTTAGGGGAAAGATTAAGAAAATCACCAATAAGGATAGGGGAATTACCTAACTTTATTCATCTTATTATACTATCACATAACCATCAGGACCATATAATGGATAATGATGTTATACAATTATGCAAAATATATAAAAATAAATTTAAATATTTATTATTTTATGTACCTGAGGGTCTTTCTTGGTTTTTTATTAAGCATGGATGCTCACCTAAGAGAGTATTTGAATTTACATGGGGAGAGAGTAGGACATTATCTTGTATGTCTAGGAAAGGAGTATATACATGTACAGATGGTGTATGGAGGAAATCATCATCATCTTCTCCTTCTAATTCTCCTAATGGTGCTGTTAATGGTTCTCCTAATGCTGGTCATAATGGTGGTGGTAATAATGTTGGTGGTGGTGCTGTTGGTGCTGCTGCTGGTGCTGCAGCTAATACAGCCATGTCTGTTGCTGCAGCAGGTAGTAGATTAAGATCACCATTCCTTTATTCAAGAAGATATAATAATATTAATAATAATAATAATACAACAACAGCAGCAACAACAACAACAGGAACTGCAACAGGGACAGGAACAACAGAGATTATAATACCACAAAGTAATAGAAGACGTTTATTTCGTGGTAGTAGTAGATGGTCAATATCCTCCTCCTCCCAACAACAACAACAACAACAACAGCAACTACAGCAGCAGCAACAGCAGCAACAACAACACCAACACCAATACAACCCGACCACCTCCTCTTCCTCCTCTTCCTCCCATCATCAACAACATCAACAACAACAACAGCAACAAATGGTACATGTAGAGCATACAGGAATAGATGGTGATGGTACAGTAGATAGATTTAAGATAACATTTGTAGGAAATGTACATTGGAGTGGTAGGAGTGCAGCAAAAACAGATCATAATACATCATTATGGGGAGGATTTGCTATAAGGGGACCCCGTCACTCCTTTTTCTATGGAGGCGATACCTCATACTTTAAAAAAGAATTCGATGAATTCAAAAAAATTGGACGCATTTTGGGGCCCTTCCATTTAGCAGCAATTGCAATTGGGGCTTATGAGCCAAATGAGGATCTAAAATATCAGCATGCAAATCCACAAGAAGCATATAATCTATTTAAGGATATAAGAGCAGAAGTTGCTGTTGGTATACATTGGGGTACTATGAGATTATCTGCAGAAAATCTATTTGATCCTATGCTTGAATTAGAATGTGCATTATTAGGTGTATCATTGGCTGCATGCAGAGGTGAAACTTTGCAGCAGCAGCAACAACAACAATTACTCTTAATACAGCAACAACAACAGCAGCAACAGCAACAGCAACAGCAACAGCAACAGCAACAGCAGCAACAGGTCGTCATGGTTCAGGGGAATCATCATACTCCTAGTAATGCTATTATTAGTATTGGAGGAGGTATTGGTGGTGGTGGTGCTGGTGGTGCTGATACTGGGTGTACTATAAGAAGTACCAATAATAATAATAATAGCAGCAACAGCAGCAATAACAATATTAATCATAATAATCCTAATGGTTATAATAGCAGCAGCAGCAATACATCCAGTATTCATAGTGATGGCAGCAGCAGACCATCATCATCATCTATTATTGGTGGTGGGCATCCTAGCAGCAGCAAAAGTATAACCACAACAGACAGCAGCAGCAACAGCAGCAACAGCATGGATCTAAGTGCTGATGGGAGATTATCTCATCAGCAACTGCAACAACATACACAGCAGCAGCAACAACAGCAGCAACAGCAGCAACAGTTGCTGCTGCAACGCGAAGAACAATCAGAAACTATTGTTGTTGGATCTACTGTTACTGCTTCTGTTCTATTAGAACCTGAACCAGAGATTGAGGCACCTCCTATGTCTGCTGCTGCTGCTGCAGTTGCTGCTGCTGCAGCAGCAGCAGCATTCAAACCATCACGTGTTGGACGAGAATCCTTACTCTTACCTCTGCAGCAACAGCAACAGCAGCAACAGCAGCAGCATCATGACGGAGATACAGCAGCAAATACAAATATAATAGACCCCTCTACATCTGCTGCTGCTGCTGGTGCTGCTGCTGCTGCTACTGGTACGTCTAATACCTCTATAGATACCGTTTTTGCTGCTCCTCTTACTCATAGAAGAAGAAGAAGACCACATAATATAAGAGAAGCATTTAGACCTGGATATAAATTCAAGATAGGACTACAGCCTCTTGCTCTATGGAGTGACCCTATCTTACATCCTAGTAATGCAAGAAGGTAAGCATATTTATTCTATTTATTTATTTATTTATTTATATACATATAGATAAATTAGTTTATTTTATTTTATTTATTTTATTTTATTTTATTTTTTCTTCTTTTTTTCTGCTTAATTTGTTGAATTTATTTCCTCTATTAGGCCTTTTTTCCTCTTATTTAGTATCATTTTCTTTCCTTTTTTTTTTGTATTTTATGACTAAAATAGCGCGAATATAATAAAATAAACAAATAAATATAATAATAAATGATTAATATATTTATTTTTTGTTTATTTTCTTAGATTAAGACGAGCAGAACGCCTTGAATCCTTAGGACTACTTACCGACCCTCATTGGCGTGAGCGTCTGTTAGTTGAAGGCTCTCGTTTCCAGACTCTTCATATTGGGCATTCAATTCAGGTATTTTTCCTTTCTTTTTTCTTTCTTTTCTCCCCTATTTTTTATACCTTTTTTATACTTTTTACTCTTATTAATTAGATTTTTATCTATTTTATTGTTTTTCTCTTTTTTTCCGCCTTTTTATCTTTCTTTTAACGTCTTATTTGCTGTTTTTCTTATTCTTCCCTATTTATTGCAACTTTCTTCTTTTTCTTGTTTTTCTTTCCTTTTTCCTTCCTTTTTCTTTTTTTTTTTCTTCTTTTTTCTTATTTATTTTATTTTATTTATTATTATTTTATTATATTTATTGTGGTGTATTTGCAGGTTGAGGAAGGAGGGGATGGTACATATCTGTTAATGTCTCGCAGCAGCGCAAGAGATCATATAGAGCCTAAGGCTGCTGCTGAGCAATATGCCTTTTTGCCTCTTTATTTATCTTCTGCTGCTGCTGCTGCTGCTGCTAATAAAAGTAATAAAAAGAGGGAAAATAATATAAATACAATATCTTCTCTTAATAGAGGAGGAGGAGATAAAGGAGATAGCAGCAGCAGCAGCAACAGCAGCAGCAGAGGCAGCAGGCACTCCTATTCTAATCAAGGATCTGCTTTAACTGGGTACAAAGAGCAGCAGCAGCAAAGTCTATCTGCAGCTGCAGCAGCAGCTGCTGCTGCTGCTGCTGCTGCAGCTGCTGCAGGGGGAGGTGGAGCCAATCTTGCTGCTTCTAGAGCAGGATGGGCAGCAGCAGCTGCTGCTGCTGCTGATGGAGCAGCAGCAGCTGCAGCAGCAGCATATGATGCTTCCGAGGTAGAAGACGCGGACATGTTTGATGTTCTTAACTAAGACGCAGCAGCAGCTGCTGCTGCAGCAGCTGCTGCAGCAATGTTAGCAGCAGCAGCAGCAGAAACTGCAGCAGCTTCTGCAGTAGCAGCAACTGCAGCAGCTGCAGCAACTGCTGCAGGAGCATCATGAGCATGAACAGCAGCATTAGCAACAACAGCAGCAGCAGCATTTCCTATAAGGAAATGTAGCTTGTGTGTGGCATATTTTGCTGCTGCTGCTGCTGTTGCTGCTGCTTTTGCTGCTGCTGCTGCTGCTTCTGCTGCTCATTTTGCTTCCTTGTTGCTTGTTTGTGCTTTGGTGTCTTTTCAATAGTATTGTTTTGCTGCTGCACTGCAGCAGCAGCAGCAGCAGCAGCAAGACAATAACTGTTTTTAAATATATAAATAAATAAATATAATTAATTAATTAATTAAATATATTCGCAGCAGCAACTTCTTCCTGCTGCTGCTGTTCTCTTTTCTTTTTTTTCTTCCTTTAGGGATGCCTGTATATTGCTGCTGCTGCATGCATGCATGCATGCATGCATGCATGCATGTATGTATGCCTGCTTATGCATGCATGGATGCATGCAGCAACAGCAGGGCTTCTCTTGCTGCTGTTGGTGTTTGCTGTTGTTTGTTGCTGTTGCTGCTACTGCAGCAGGAGCAGCAGCAGCAGCAGCAGCAGCAGCAAAAAAAACTTCTTTTCCTCTCTTTTTTCATTTGTTTGCAACAAATGGACAAAAAAACGCATTTCTTTCTTCTTTTCTTCTTAATATTTCTTCTCTTTATTTATTTATTTATGCATTTACTCCTTTTTTTATTCCTTTTTCTTCTTTTTTCTTCTTTTTTCCTTCCTTTTTTCCTTCTTTTTTTATTATATTTTATGTACCTTCTTTTTATATAGAGGGAAGAGCTGCTCGAGTAACGGCAGAATTGCTGTCGTTGCTGCTGCTGCTGCTGTTGCTGCTGCTATTGCTGCTGCTGCTGCTGCTGCTGCTATTGCTGCTGCTGCTGCAGCTTTTAGTAAGGGTACATGCGTTATAGTGAATAATACTCCTTACTGCAGCAGCAGCAGCAGCAGCAGGTGTTGCTCCTGCAGTTGCTGTTGCTGCTGCTGCTGCTGCTACTGGCTGCTGCTGTTCCTTTCTTCTCTTGTCTAAATGTGTCAGTATAATTGTGTCTGTACTAATACTAATAAATATATAAATATATATATTTATATGTGTATATATATATATTTTGTATATAGTATATACTTATCAATTATATACTTATTTATTTATTTATCTATTTATTTATTATTTATTTATTTATTTATTTATGTGTATAAACAAAGAAAAACAAAGAAGAAGAACATACACACCATCTCCTGTATATAATAATAAATATTTATTTTATAAAAAAAAGAAGCAAATAAAAAAAGTAATAAATAAATAAATTAAATAAATAAAATAAAATAAATAAAATAAATTAAAAAAAGAAGAAAAGGAGAAAAAAGGATATATATGTATATATAAATATATATACAACTATACATATATATATACATATATATATATGTTGCTGCTGCTGCAGCACCAGCAGCAGCAGCAGCACCAGCACACTTAAAAGGAATAAAAAGAATAAAAAAGGAATAAAATGAATTAAATTAAGCAAACAAATACAATAAAAGAATAAAAAAGAAAGAAAAAAGAATAAAAAAGAATTACTTTTCTCCTTTTTTCTTCTTTTTTTTTTTATTAGGGGAAGGAGGGGACGACAATTTATTCACATATAAACATAGAGGAATATAAAGACATAAAAAAGAATAAATTGAATAAAATAAACCAAATAAATATAATAAATAAATAAAAAACAATAAAAAAGAATAAAAAAGAATAAAAAAGAACAAAAAAAGAACAAAAAAGGAGAAAAAAAGAAGAAAAAATATTTTTTTCTTCTTTTTTTCTTTTATTTAATTAGGTAGGTATAAGACGACAACCCATTGGTCTAAAAAAAAGGAATAAAAAAGAATAAAAAGGAGTAAAATAAATAAAATAAAGCAAATAAATACAATAAAAGAATAAAAAAGAATAAAAATTAAATAAAAAAGAATAAAAAAGAATATTTTTTTCTTCTTTTTTTTTCCTTTTTGTTACCTAAATGGTTATAAGAAAATATAACCCATTGGTTGGTGTATATAGAGGGAATAAAGATATAAAAAGGAATAAAATAAACAAAAAAAAATGCAAATAAATAAAAAAAAGAATAAAAATAAATAAAAAAGAATAAAAAAAAGAATAAAAGAAGAAAAAAATTAAATAAAAAAGAATTTTTTTTTTTTTTTTTTTTTTTTTTT